TGAAGCTTGGTTAAGACAAATTAAGAAGTTGCTAGATACTTCTGACATCTGAAATGAGCAAGATAGAGTGACTATGGCAGTATTTCAAACGGAAAGGGAAGCAGATCATTGGTGGGAAATGATCAGAAATACTCGACAAGTAGAGACATTAACTTGGAGACAATTCGAAGACTTATTCATGGAAAAGTATTTTCCTAACTCGGTAAGACAAGAAATGATTCAAGAGTTCCTTCAACTGAAACAAAGAAAAATGTCAGTCACTCAATATGTGAACTATTTTGAAGCACTCTCACGGTACGCTTCAGCTATAGTAGCAAATGAAGAGAATAAGGTTAGACGATTTGAATGGGATTCGTACACAGACATTAGAGGAAGATTGATCGCAGTGCAGCTTTCCACCTACGCTCAAATGGTGGATCGAGCTTTAATTGTGGAACGAAAGTTCGCGGATTCCGAACGCATTCGAAATCAGTGATCAAGGAACAACAACCAACCATGCGGACGGGTCCAGTCCGCAACACTAGAAACCATCCTGCACCAGCACCTTATGCCGGAGGGTTACAGCAGCAACAAAGGCAAAATCGAGGAAACCAGCAAGGAGGAAACTTTGTAAATGAGTGGAAAGGAAAATGTTTCAGATGTGGTCAGCAGGGGCATTGTCGAAATGAGTGTCCTCAAGGTAGGGAGTATTTTATGGATCAACGAGGGGCACAACAATACAACAAATGCCAGCCAGGGCAAGGTTCTAAGCCCGCTCAAAATACTCAGACCAACAAGGGGCAGCCACAAGCCTCTAGGAATGCAAGCCAACCAAGAACCCAACCACAAGGAGCTGAAAATTTTGGCAGATTCAGGAGGAATCAAAAATTATCTCTTCAATTGTTTATTTGGACTAAAATAAGATGATTTCTTCTACAAAGTTGTTTAGAATGATGTCTACTTCATCCATGCATTTTTGCAACAATTATGGAGTTTTGTACGAATTTATACAGATTTTTAACCAAATCTGGAGCTATAGGCAGATTTTATTGTGTTTGAAAAATCATTAAAAATTTTATATTAAACCAAATCTGGTAATTTCTAAACAAAAAATGAAATTTGAGAAGTCTAGTTTCATGATAAATTTTTAGATTATGGAATTGATTTATAAATTTAAGTACGGAATTAATTTAAGAAAATGTGATAAATCTGTGTCATAAACTTCTTGGAATTTTTAAGAATTATTTATAATTTATTTTTGGAAAATGCTTTCTGAAAAATGACCATAACATGTTTATTGAGTATTCTATAGATTTGTATGAATTTTAGAGTTGTATAAGTAATTTATTTATAACTTTATTTACGAGATATACATTCTAAAAATTTCGACAAATTCAGAAGGAATCAAAAATAATCTCTTCAATTGTTTATTTAGACTAAAATTTAATATTGTGCTAGTCTAATCTTGTAGATTAAAAATCCATGCATGCGTGTGATTATGATTTATTTCTTTTTGGTATCTACATTATTTCATACCATGGTTTAAATTAATTGTTTATTTAAATTTTGTACATTGATTTATTTTTGGTGTGACACGTGTAACATTTTATGTTGGGAATTTTCATGAGTTGCTAGGACATTATTGATGAATAAAATTGAAATTATTTGTGATTAATATAAAAACTAACTGAAACGATTAACAGCTTATACAAAGTTAACAATTGAGGGTTAATACCGGTTGTTCAGGATGAGCCCCGATTTTTAATAATTTTTACGTAAATTGTGTTGTGAAACCCTAAGATGGCACGGGACTTATTTGAACCCTTATCGGTATTTGGTTTTGGAAAAAGGGTGGATGTGCGGTGGCACGCAGGGAGGTTACATACCCCTAGCAGACCGTTCCCTTGGAGCAGACCATGGATGCCACAGTTTGGGTATATAACTCCGGGTGTGGACATCTTTGGCAGTTCTTTAATATTTGACCAAGGGGGGATTTCCAAATTAACCGTGGCCATGGCTTAGTGATTAGTAAAAAAATCTCTTTGGTGAGATTTTGAGTGTCACCTAAACTATTAAAATTGTCAAAATTATTATAATGGTTGTTACATTTATCATGCTACTGAATTTTACTATTATTTTAATTGTCATGATTTGATTATTTTCTCTTAAAAAGAATGGTAGGTTGGTTACCTTTTTTTATTATGTTGCAAAACTCATGGCATATATTTTGTTACCCTGGCGTTTCATGCCAGATTATGTCGAAAAAGGGACTGAAGCTGAATTTGGAGCTGCTGCTAATATTGAACCTTGGCTAACTTAAAGTCCAGACTCTATCGAAATAAAATTTTATTATCCTTGGTATTAGTAATTACGTATGTTATAAAATTGTTGTAATATTATATGTGGACTCGTAATTTAGTTGTTAAGCTTTGACTATGCTAAAATCTAAATTTCCCTAATTAGTTGTTAAAATTTTTATTTAGCAAGTTTATTTAAATTTTATGATGTTCCAAAAAAAAAATTGGGGCGTCACAGGACAAACATCGAACCAGGCCGGTTTGACACTACATAATAAGGGATTTGTGTCTGCCCAAACCCGACCCGGTCCTAACATCGAGCCTCTATATCTGCCCAAGCCCTGTCTAAAAAATAATTATAAATCCCATGCCAACCCATTGGGCTATATGTTAAAAAAAATTTAAAATATTCCATAATTAAATTCAATCACACATTATATTTCTTAAATAAATATATTGACATAATAATAAATTGAAAGATTGTGTATAAATTAAAAGATTTCTTCAATAAATTCAATCCCACGTCACCACAAATGTAAGTTTCAATAAAATCAACAAAGATAAAGACAACAACCCAACAAAAAATATATATTTTAATGTATTATAAATAAATAATTAAGTAATTAAGATTTTCATGTGATTCTTCAATAACATCCTAACAGAGGAACAGATTTGAATGTTATAACTGTATTCAATATAGATCATTATGCATGCCATCCCCTCTTTTGCTAATAAGAAAAGTTCCAAACTATTTCCTCATCGCTCTTTGACAGCTTGGAATCATCAACATAAGATTGAGTCAGGGATTCGAGAATTCTTCATGATTAGGAAAGCAATCCAGTCTAAATTATTCCTACTATTAAAACTCCACCTCCTTCCTTGATGCTTACTCATCATAGACTCAGAAAGATTCCGCCTAAATAGTTACCACTTCTCAATCATTTATTCTTTCCTTAGTAGTAGGAATTGTGGAATGGACTCACGTTTCTGAGGATGAAGCACGATTTTGCACTTCTGAGGAAGAATCGCATAAGAATCACCCTTCTAATGCGAAAGAAACGCAATCTCGAGCTCTCGATCTATCTCTTGATCTTATTCTCTCTCCCGATCTCTGTCTCGATCTCCTTCTCAGTTTCAATCTCCGTCTCTCTCGATCTTCTTCTCTCTGTATCGATCTCCTTCTCTCTCTCTCTCTTTTGATTGTGTTGTGCATGTGTGAGAGGAGAAGAGAGAGAGTCTCCATCGTTGTTTTGTGTAAAAGCCGTTGTTCTCATAGGAGAGAAGAGAAGAGAAGAGAGATAGAGTTTGACTGACTTGATTTGTATGCTAAACCCTAATGGGCTGGACCCAAATAAATAAATAAAAAGTTTGGGCCTATTTATAAACTTTGTTTAACAATAAAAATTTGAGCCGTGTAGTTGGGATAACTTTTTTTTTTAACTCGTCTTTATATATAATAAATATATTTAAAAAATAACTATATAATATGGGTTCTACTTTTTTCATTTATAATATATATATACATATCAATTAAAAATAAATATATATATATATAGATAAATTAAAAATATTATCAATGAAAATAATACATAAGTGCTCCCAACCTACAACTCTTCTAAGTGGCCACACTCCCACGCTCCTGCTCCCATTTCTTGCAACTAAGGTTCTTTCTTCTCCATAGCGGATTATATTTTCTCTTGGAGGAGGAGGAGTAAAAAGAATGCACTCATTTGACCCAATTAATTGCTGAGTTATTGGCCTTGTTTGGCAAAGGCTAAAATTTGACTTTTTAGGTAAAATTCACAAAAAGACAAAATAAACTAAAATAGCTAATAAGACAAAATGTCACATCAAACCCCATAATCATTTCACTTTTTCTCTCACAAACATCACATCTAATTATAAAAAAAAATCCAACCATCTTTTCAAATACAAAAATTTTAGCCTACTAAAATAGCCAAAAACTAAAATAGCCTACTAAAGTAGCCAACTTCCCAAACAAGGACATTATCTTCTTCTTGTTGCCTAGAGTGAGTTTGCTAACTATAACAGACATTATCAAACTCAAATAAAAGAGAATGTTAACAAGATAACATTACTGCTATTGTGGACTGTGCCCATTCTTCCCATTCTAACTTGATTAAATTCCATACCCGTCGTATACACAACAGAATTTTGACAAGCTGAGATTAGACATTATGTTGAGGAAGATATCTATCGAACTCTGCCTTCCTAATTATGGCCAAGCTATTTTTGCTGCTCTAGTCTTTGCTACAAAAACAACTGTGTATAGGATTCCATATTGGCTGTGGCTTTTAGAAACATTCGGCTACAAGGCTAAATAGTTATTCGGTTGTACAAGGATAGCCATTAAACATTTCCCTCTTTTCAAGCAAGGTGGTGATATATTTACCTAACAAAGTAAACCCCATCATGCAGGCCTCGCCTATCAAAATTTTAAGTTCCTTTATTATCCATCACTTTTAATATCTTTTGATTTTTTATAATTATGGTTCATTCCTTTATCGCCTTTTCAAGTTACAGTCAAGATGCTAGCATAATAAATTCATGGATAAACTTTTAGTAAAGCAAAAGGGTTAGTAGAGCCATGAAACCTAATGAAACAATCACAATAACAAATTTGGTTATCTTATTGCACATCATAACACATTAAAAAAATAAAATAAAAAAAGTATATGTTTAATCCAAACTTTAGAGTGAAACCTGTATGAAGCTGCACTTTTCCTTGGTGGTATCTGCAAAAATAAATTACAAGTTGAAAATTAGGTTGACATAACATCTTCTTATCCATCCTTACAAATACAAATGAGAAAATTGATTACTTAATGCAACATAAAATTGGAAACTTATAGCAATTGTAATGGACACTGTAAAGATTGAAAGACAGAATAAGAAATATGTGAAATTATTTATGAACAATTAAATTGTTCGATTTCAAAATTCTGATCAAGCATATAACATAGATGGATTCACATAAAGCTTCAATAGGCGTGATTCAGCTAACTTAAAACCCTAATTCATCAGTAATTCACAAGAAGGCACTTTTTTTTTTTTGGACAAATGTAAAGGATGTGTTATTGAAAATCAAGAAACAGGCCATTGGGTGTAAGCCCTCTGGATGCAAAAAGACTTTGTTTGATCAAAAATTGCAAAATGGATTTGAAGAAGTCTGAAAACTACAAAATCAGACTACTTTAATCTCATATATGTAAAGAACTAACTTGTTTGATAGGGCCATAAAACTCGACACATAATGATCATTCTTATTATCTTCTTGTTAAGAAATTACTAATATAAACTACTGATTTCGGGAACCCAAAAAACGAAATTGCAACGCATGCATTAAGTAGATACAGTGAGTGAGTCAATGATCGGGGAACAGAGAAATCGAATGAATATTACCAAATAAACATAACATTCAGGGACTTGAAAGAGAACAAGCTCTATTGTTTCATTGTCCTCGTTCTCTGCTGCACCTCCATGGTTCTTTTCTGGCTCGCTCGTTTCCGTTTGTTCTTTCTCCATGATGATCTAGAGAGAGAGAGAGACTTTTAGAGAGAGAGAGAGACTTTTGGAGAGAGAAAATCGAATCCAGATCGATTGCAGCCCCGAGAAGCCGAGTGCTAATCAAATCTGCAACTGGAGGACTTTCTCTGAGAATTTGAGCAAACCTTGTGCTCAATTGGGATTTTTTTTTTTTGTTTAATTTTTTTTCAACGGAGTGAAATGCGTTTATACATCTGTGAATTTTTGTTTCACTTTTTTATATTTTATTAATTTTTAGTTTATTTAACTATATAAAAGGTTTTAAAAAATGAAAGTTTTTATAACATATTTGTATCCCAATTAGTTATAATATATTTTTATATTTTAATAAATCTTATTATTTAGACATTTAATCTATTAAATTTTTATTCTTATATTTAAAATATTTTATGAACAATTTTTTCCCTTATAAATAATTTTTATACGCTTAACAATTTGGTGATGTAAAGCAGCCTTTCTCTCTAAACTCAGAGCATCTCTTTCTAAGTCTCCTTCTCTAAGCCTTCAACTAGGTGTGTCATTAGAGGTGGAGAGGGGTTCCAATCGCTAGTATCATTTCCCCTCCTTGTATCATTTTTTTCTTACTTTCTTTGTTTTTTTGCTTAATAATATATGAAGTTAGTCCTTTCAACCCTTTTCAACACACCGCAACTACCACACCACCACCAGATCTTCCATCTTTCCACCTTCATGGATCCGCCATCATTAGATCTGCCTCATCTCCTTCAGATCTGTTGGCTACTAATGTTTGTGTCGCCTCTCCTTCTTTCCGATCTTTCAGATCTAATGTTTGGCTTGCACCCAAACTTTCACCCTCGCGCTTAAAACTTTCAAATTTAGTTTTAGATCTTCTCACAATCTGAAAACTGATGTTATTTAACGTGTTTGTTTTACGCAACCTCAACCTCAACCTCAATATTCTATCTTGACCAGGGAAGATGAAGTCTTCAGATTTCAAGTTGAAGGTTGCGATGTAATGGAGTTTAGGATGCGTCATCTGGTTATTTTCGATTTGCTTTTTTAATTTTTTAGTGTTTGCTCTAATAATCTTCCTTGTGTGGAGGTTGTGTCCTTTCTTTGTAAGGGTTTTTTCTCCTCCTCTATGGAGGTTAGGATTCTTCCTCTTATGGAAGTTCGTTACTTCCTCCATCCCAAAATAATGGTTCCTTTTGAGAATCTAACTTTTCTTAATAGTACAATCATTACATTTTAAAAATATTAATTTTTCAAAATTACTCTTTGATAGTATATTTTTTTGGGAATATTAATTGTCATAATTGTACTTTTTATGTTATTAATGAATTTAAAAGAAGAGCAAAATAATAAATTCATATTATTTTATTTCTTAATTTTTGAAAAGGGACTAATATTTTGGGACAATGAAAACTAGAATAAGGGATTAATATTTTCAAACGGAGGGATTATCTCTTTATGAGATCTTTAGCTACCGCTGTATGAGATTGATTCGATTTTTTTATCAGTTTTGCAATGAAAATTTTCTTCTCGATCTAAAAAAAAAAAGAAACAATTTAGTGATGTGAACATTCATATTTTAAATCAATGAATGGTGTGATCTTCAATCACATTCCGATGGACCCTTCATTAACTATCTTCAAAGCAAAACATGACTATACAGAGTTTGTGGAGCTTAGTGCTAAGCATTCTAGTCAGGACAACTCTTCTCCTTCTCAAACTTCTCATGCTGCTATGGTCTAGACTCGCTTTCGCAAGTTTTCTCAAAGCCAACTATGATATTGTTGTTAATCCAAATTCTTCTAAGGCGACCATTGCAATTCTGATTAGGGATTGGAAGGGATCTCTTCTTGAGGGCACTGTGCACAAGGTGGACATCTTTTCTGTCTTCCAAAGAGGAGCCCTTGCTCTCCGATGGGCTTGCTTATGGTCCAAAAACACAATTTAACAAATGTAGAGATTGCTAGGAACAACAAATTAGCGATTTACTTGAGTGCTTCTGAAAATGTGCCACATTAGAATTGTGTTTCTATTTTCTTTGACATTCGTGAGATACCTCTAGGAACTATTTATCTTTTTGTTAGTATCCTAGAATTGCTAATAGGGCAACTAGGGGTGGGCGCAAGTCGGTTGCGGCTACGGAGCCTCCAATCCGTCATCCGTCCGCCAGATTGGCGGGTTGGAGAAAATCAATTCGCATCCGTCCGCCAATCTAGCGGATGTGGATTGAGCGGTTTGGCGGTTTGGCGGATGGATGCGAATCAGTTTGGCGGTTTAAGATTTTATAAATTTTCAACATAATTCAACTTGTGCACTTCCTCAAAAAAAAGAAAAAAATAAAGTATTACAGTCAATGACTTAAAAAAGTATTACAATTACTGTATGCCTCATCCAAAGAAAGAAGTTTGAAATTTTAGAATATCACAATCACTACATGTCTCATCCACATATTATAATCGCAGCATGTCTCATCCACATAAAGTATTACAAT